TTTTAACAAAACCATTATACCCTGATTTCCCATTTTCAATGGGTTCAGGGTATAATGAGGAGTATGCAAATGTAGCTGGCAATCGAGAGGCAGATCATGGGCAGGCGCTTCACTTGCAGAGAAAATGTTTAGTTGAAGAGCTTAAGGTAGCTGCTCGCTGGGCACCGGAGCAGTTCTGTGTGTGAGAGAGGCGAAATGCTGGCTACCCAGCCCTAGGAGGCAGCTCTATTTGACGGCTTTAAATTTATCAGTAAATAAAGTAATGTAAAGAATAGTATGAATTTACATAGTAAGAGGAATATGCTTCTATATTTAATTGATAAAAGTCATTAAGAGCTCTCTAGTAAAGTCTTTGAGATTCGTTTGAGGAAAACTCATTGAAGCAGCCATTATAAGATATGACGAGTCTCTACAAATTAAACATATTTGCCAAGAACAAACATCTTCACACACGCCTTCAACTACACCTATACACACACCCACACAGACACACTCTCGCCTTAGCAATTTGGCAAATCCAAAGGGCTTGCGTGGAAACCGCATCCTTCGTTGGGGTCACAGGTTTTATTTGCTGATTGAGGGCAAACTGTGAAAATAAAAAGCGAGAATATCTATTTTCAGCGCGTCAAAGTTGTGGGCAGAGCCAAAGCCAAAGCCAAAGCGAAAGCTGAAGCTAAAGCGTGCAACTACTTAATTGAAAAAGTTTAAAGCTAACAAACAAGCCCCAAAAAGAAAACTTTAGCGCGTGGCCCAATAACATTGGTTATTTCCTTAACTCTATCGAAACTCTAGCTATGTGATAACTGAACTGCTGCAATCGGATCTGCACAAGATCATCGTGTCGCCGCAGCACCTGTCGGCGGATCACATCAAGGTCTTTCTCTATCAGATACTGCGCGGCCTCAAGTACTTGCACTCGGCCAGGATACTGCATCGGGACATCAAGCCGGGCAATCTCTTGGTCAACTCCAACTGTGTGCTGAAGATATGCGACTTTGGGCTGGCGCGCGTCGAGGAGCCCGACCAGGCCAAGCACATGACCCAGGAGGTGGTCACACAGTACTATCGGGCGCCCGAAATACTTATGGGCGCTCGCCACTATTCGTCGGCTGTGGATGTGTGGTCGGTGGGCTGCATCTTTGGTGAGCTGCTGGGCCGGCGCATATTGTTCCAGGCGCAGAATCCGGTGCAGCAGCTGGAGCTCATTACCGAGCTGCTGGGCACGCCCACCATGGAGGATATGCGTCATGCGTGCGAGGGGGCACGCACACACATGCTGCGGCGGGCGCCCAAGCCGCCATCGTTCTCGGTGCTCTACACGCTCAGCTCACATGCCACGCACGAGGCGGTGCATCTGCTCTGCCAGATGCTGGTCTTTGATCCGGTAAGTCAGACTCTGGCCTAAGTGGCACTCAATCTTTCAGCTGTAACCCCCTTCCGCTCCTTCTAGGACAAGCGCATTTCGGTGACAGATGCACTGGCGCATCCGTATCTGGATGAGGGACGTCTGCGGTATCATTCGTGCATGTGCAAATGCTGTTTCACTACCTCAGCCGGAATGCGTCAGTATACGGCGGACTTTGAGCCCTCCGCCGGGCAGCCCTTCGATGATTTATGGGAGCGCAAGCTCACCTCGGTGCAGCAGGTGAAGGGTAAGTCAAATAAACGAACGAGAACGAAAAGTCGCAAGAGCATTTTATAAATACGTAACTCCCCTCCCGTCCCTTTCTCACAGAGGAAATGCACAAATTCATTGCCGAGCAGCTGCAAACGGGCCGCGTGCCGCTCTGCATTAATCCGCAGAGTGCGGCCTTCAAGAGCTTTGCCAGGTGAGTTGCCATCCAGCCATAGAACACGCTGCACGTTGCGTACGAAACCCAACCAAACTCCCCCTCTCTCTCTCTCTCTCTTTACCTATCTATCTCTCTCTCTCTCTCTTTCTTTCTTTTTCTGTTTTTGTTGTTCCAAAAGAATTGTATTCGTAATTTGCTTTTCAGTTGACAATTGAAATTCTCTCTTTCACGCACATTGTTGTCTGTCTCTCTCTCAATCTATCTCTCTTTCTTAAAGGAAGTCCACAAACGTCTCTCTCTCTATCCTTCTCTTTCTATCTCCAACTCCCTCTCTCTATCTATCTATTGTTGATTTATCTTTATATATAATATAATATATATATATATTTTAAAACGAGTTTTAATTTTTGTTTTCTCTTCTTTTTTTCTATCGTTTTTTTTTTTTTTACACAAAAATATCGATTATACATCAATATCGATATACATTAATATTGAATCAATTCTATCAAATTTAATTTACATATTTGCGTTGTTAAGCCAATGAGAATGAGAATATCTACTACTACTACCACTACTACCACAACTTGCACTGCTGCTCCTGCCGCTGCTGCTGCCGCTGAGGCTGCCGCTGCCGCTGCTGCTGCTGCTGCTGTTGCCGCTGCTGCTGCCGCCGCCGCCGCCGCTGCGCAGGCTAAATACCAAGACAAAGACCAAGTATATATACTAGGCGCGTACCGATATACCAATATTAACCAATCAAGTCAAAGACAAACACAGAAAGAAAGAAAAAATCCAAGCAGAAGCTCACAAAACAGAAAGAAAATAAAAGAAAAGAATAATAGCAAAGCCGCCAGAGAAAGAAACAAAACATAAGAAACAAGAATCAAGAGAAAGACAAAGACAAAGCAAGCAAGATCAAGAAAGCGGGCGAGAAAGCGAGCAAGATACCAAGAATCGCATTGCAGCGATATATATCGATATCGATATCGTTACTACACTATTGTGGGTACGTCGGCAGCAGCAACTCTTGAATCTTTAGGTCTGTTGATCAAGCAAATACATTTATTGCTCTAATACATTTGCTAAAACCAAACAAAAAATATATATATCATTTATAATTTTTTTTCTATAATTTATATCTATATATATATGATTTAATGCCTATGTTCACCATATATATAAATATACATATGTATATTCTCTTCCTTTTTTATAATATATAACTTCTACTTTATTTTCTGTTTGTTTAATGCAAATGTGTATAAAAATCATTTATAATACTCATCTTTTTTTTAATTTTCATTACATTTATTATTAAATGGGTTATTTGTGTACATAAATGTTATTTACAAAACAAAAAAAATACCAAACTGGCAAATTTCTAGCTCTCGTCAAATGTCAAACGCAAAAATTGGTCGACAAAAAATATTTGAAAACAATTGGCTTGAAAAAATCAAGAAATTTTGGAATTCTGAAAAAAAATACTAGAAAAATACTCACCACCTTTCATAGACATTTCGAGCAAAGCATATAAAAATACCTTGCAAAGCATAAAATGTAATATAAACCCCATATACATACATATATCTCTCTATCCATAGCCAATTTATATTTATCTTGTTGCAACTCATATATCATATAAATCAAGTATATATAAATCTATATATATGTATATTCGCATTTAATATATCAGAACTTTAATCAATCACATGAATACACACATATATATACACAGAGACACGCCCATTATCATATAAATGTAAAATTATATACACCATCCTTGCAGTTAAAACTTGAATAGAACTTTGTTAAAAATATAGCTAGAACTCTTAAGAGAGAACTCTTTAATATAACAGTAACTGTATATTTATTACCTCTTGCAAGTCTCTTCCTTCTATCTATCTATATCTATCTGATGTCAGCTTCCTGTGAAGCTTTGCAGCTGAAACTTGGAGCAGCTGCTTTAGGTTCTATAGAAACCAAGTCTATACTATCTACCTATCTGAACTAAGCCTCCTCTCAAGCTTCTCCGTTGAAATTTAGTATAGCTGAATCCTGAGAATCAATCAAATTATAATACTACTATAACATATAGCTATCACATTATAATAGATCGAATTGGCATGCAGAAGAGATTCTAACTGCTCCCTAGAAGACCTCTCTTAAACTTGAGAATGAGTAGAACTCTAACTGAAAAACGTATTTAACTGCAAGAGTATGCCAGCTTCGGCTATGCCGAAATTATATATTTCCCTTTGTTTTCTTTCTCTAATCAAATCATGAGCACCGTTAGCTTGTACATATTTGCAATTAGCCATATGAGAGTCTATATCACGGCCCCTACTAGCAAACGCCCCCTCACCCGGCCCCCTTAACTCTACATCATGAATTTGGCCAAGAAAAAAGCATTTACAACTACATTTAATACACTGCCAGCAACAACAAACAGCAAAATGCATATTGAAAATATTAGCAATGTATATATATATATATATATACATATATGTGTATATGTAAACATGTATATATATATGTATATGTATAAATCAGTGCAGTTGAGCAGCAGTGACAATGGTCAAAAGTAGAATAAAACCGCTTGAAAAGCTTTCACTTCAAGTCTTGAAAAAAAAAAGCAATAATAAAATAATTAACAAAAAATTCTATACATAAAATATTTGATTTTTGATTTCATTATGTTTTGGTTTTGTTGGTTGTATAGTCGAAATCTATTTAAATGTAGTTTACTTTTCCTTCATGTACTTCATTTATTTATAATTTTTAACTTATGCTGGTTTGTTGTTTATTGTTTATTGTTTATTGTGCTTCCACTGCGGGCTTTACTCTGGCTTTTTATGTTGTATTCATTAGTTTGTTTGTTTTTTTCTTTTTTGGGTAGTTTGCTGCATGTGCTCTACGCTCTATCTAAATGTATTTGAAGCGACAAATATTCTGATCCAAGACTTGACTAATGTACGCATTTTCTTTTCTTTTTTTTTATTTTTCTTAATATTTTCGAAATCAGCTCCACTGTGGCACATCCTTCGGAGCTGCCGCCTTCGCCGCATCAATGGGAATGACGGCAAAATGAGGCGATTGCTGCCTAAAATATCAAAAGCAACACTCAGCAAACAACAACAACAACAACAACTTGAACAACAATAGCCAGCTATATATCTATGTATGTGTATGACATATGTATATAGCTATATCAAATATGGACAAGGAGCCTGGCGACTGGCAGCTCCGCTACAACGCCTTCGGGACAGCAAATGGATAACAACGACAACAACAATTTGAAAGCGCCAAAAAGAACAGTTTTGCTCAGCGCTGTCTGTTTCAAAGTTAAAGCATTCCACCACCGAAACTAAAACAACAAACAAACAACAAATTAACAAAATGTAACGTAACTCAACTGAAACTAGTCTAAAAAAAAAAAACAGAAAGGAAAGAAAGAAACAAGAGTAAAGTAAAGCAAAGCAAACAACAATCGAAATTGTTTGCGGCACAAACAACAAACACAACAAATTCGAGAAAAAACAACAAATTCATTATAAACAAATTAAATATGAAAAAACAACAAAAAATTAATTTGTTGCGCTTGACAAAATTGGTAGAACAAAAATACGAAAAATAACACTAAAAATTAAATATTAAAAAAACAACAACACAAGGAAAGCAAACATTTTTTGGTCTAATAAACAAGTTGCAAAATGTTTTTTTATTTTAAGCGCTTTAAAAAAACAAAAATTCGATGTAAATTAATTAGCAATTAGTGCAAAACACAAATTATATATACATATATATATATATGTGTGTGTACTAATAATTAAATATATATACACACACACACACACTCTCACACACAACAAGAAATTTGTTTGCCAAATTTACCTCACACACACACACACACACCTACACAAACTTTTTTTCTGTGTATAACTATATGAAAAAAAAACTATAGAACTCTCTCTCTATATATACATATATATATAAATGTGTAGCAGCTATAAAAACAAAACAAAGAAAACATGAATATTTTCTAAAAACTAATTAAAAAACATAACAACATCAAGAACTATTTATTTTCCACATATTCGCGCTTCAATTTTGAAACTGGTTTCTAACTATATGTAGAAAATGAAGAAGAAGAAGAGGAAGAAAAGGCTCTATAGAGAAAGCTCTTAAGATCACTAATATGTATGTATTCAATGTGTGTTTGTATATGTATAACTGTAACTCTGTATATGTCATATATATGTATATACATATATATATGTATAGCAGAACATGATGAATGAAATAGAAAACACACATGAAATATTTTTAACCGTGGACTGATTAAATTGCATAAATCCCAAACAACTATGCAATTAAATAATTAAATAAATTTTAATTTCTTGATTAATCTAATCTACTTAACGCTTAGTTTATGACAATTTATATGCATAGTTTTAACATTTTTTAATTATTATTATTCAATTTGTTTTGCCTTTTGCTGGCAAATTCGTTTAGTTCGTAGCGCACGCACACACACAGACACAGACACTAGTATATGTGTGTGTGTGTGTGCGTGTGGCAAAAGCAAAACCAACAAGTGGACGACACACTGCCCCCCAGTGAATGTGCCCAGACGTTTCAAGCATAGTCAGCACTCACTAAAGTGGACACTCTCGCTCGCTTGCCTGTCTCTGTACCGCTGAACGCTGGGCCATTTCAAAGTTAGTTCTTAAATCTTAATTAGTTTAACTGTAATATAGTTTAATTGAGCCCAGCCCCCAGCCCCCCCTCGCCCTCCCTCTGGACATTTTCGACTAGCAACTGGAATGCTCATTGCCAACAAAATGCTATAAATAGATCTATTTGGTATCTCTAGCTCCCATATATACTATTTCACACTGATATCTGTATATGTTTAAGACTGAGTTCTCTCATTTCCTTACAAAAGAGATGGTTGACAAGCGCGCCTATATGCAAAATATAAGTATACATATATATACATCAAGTATATAAACTGAATGAAAATGATGATGAATGAAATGAAAATGAATTAAAGTGTCAGGAAAATTGTTTTTGGTATAACAAAGAAAATGAAAACGTAGCGAAAAACCATTTATAATGCTTGAATTATGTAATTAAATGTAGCAAAACTATATATGAAAAAAGAAAAACAAAAACAAAGCATATATATATATGTGTGCATTCATTATATGTATGTATTCGTAATTTTTGAAGTCTTTTCGACCTATGTAAATCGTAAACTTTCTCGAAAATTGTAGGCGCTCAACTAGAAGCCAATTTCTCGATATAGAAAAACAAACAACAAAACAAATTTCTTCGACTCTAAACTGTGCTGCTTTCTTATGTATGTAGTTTTAAATTATATATATATATATGCGCATATACATATATATATATAGATGATATAACTAATTTAGCGTACGCCTAAAGACGATATAATATGAAGGAAACGAAATATGAATTCAAACTTTCACGGAGATCTCATAGCAAAAGAAAACAAAATGAAAACAAACGAAAAGGCGAAAAGTGGAGAATCGTTAGAGCTATACGAAATATACGATATATGTATATATATATATATTGTTCATCTGGCTAACTACCGTTAAATGTAGCCAACGATTTTTCATATTTTTGATTTCTTACAACAAAACTTTTGTTTATAAATAATCAGTTTTTTCTTATATATATACATGTAGACAACAATATTTTGGTCACACCCACACTCACACACACATACACACTCATACTCGAATGCTAAGACACACACGCATACTTTTAGTTTACTAAATGTAACTGTAATAAATGTTCAATAAAATAAAAAACGAATGCAATGCAAAACAATTTATCAACTACATTAGCAGCTAAGCACATTTTACACCCAATACACAATTTCATACATACATACATACATTATATATATATATGTAATTTCGTTTTGACTTAATGTAAGCACCATGTACATAACATTAAAACCCCACCAATACTTATATATTAATACATATATATATACATATATACATTATATATAATCCAAATGAAATCTAGTTTTCATTTTTTTAGTTAAAGAATATATAGATATATAACAACCATATAGTTAATCATATGTACATTTTTTTTGCACAATTTTCAACAAAATAAAACACACACATTACATATATATAAATCTCTATATATATATATACAAATACAATAAAATACAATAATTATGCTAAACTTTGTCTATAAATTCGTGGCGCTTATGTTTCAATAAGTTTCAACAATGTTTAATTGTTAGTTAAGCTAAGTAAACAGAAAAAAAGAAAACAAACAAACAAACAAACTAAAAGCTGAGTATTTGACCTACATAGATATACACTATACAATATAAATATATATGTGCTAATTATACAGTAGAACCTACGTATAAACTACCTAATATAATGCGATGAGTTTACGTTGGCTGCAGAGAGTGAGTATTTGACCTACATAGATATACACTATACAATATAAATATATATGTGCTAATTATACAGTAGAACCTACGTATAAACTACCTAATATAATGCGATGAGTTTACGTTGGCTGCAGAGAGTGAATAAAAAATCATGTAAAACTGTTTGTATAAAAAAAAAAAAAGAAAAAACGAAGCTATCTTTTTGTTTTATTTTATTTCAATATAGAATTTCATAGCCTTACTTTGGTTTTCTTTTCTCGTCGTGGCTCACCCTAATGCAGGTATTAGGGTGGACTTGTAAAACCGAATGCATTTGCAATTAGAATTTATAGCTATAAAGTACGTATATGCATTTCTCTCCAAGAATATATATATATAGCACTACTATATACGATATACGATATATGATACAAAATAATATATACATATGTGTGTATGTATGGACAATATTTGCGAATAAACTGAAACTTCATAGCGACAACTCTCACTCTCTATAGACAAAAAAAAAACAAAAGATATTCAAATTACAGGTAACAAAAATTTTCAGTTTTTGGCAAGCGGAAAAAAAGCTGAATTGAAAAGAATATTTCGAGGCAGTACGAAAAGCTGCTTCTAAATTTTATAAAAATACAAATGATTGGAGGAAATAAAAACCACAAAACTAATAAAATAAAATAAAAATTTGTGCCAGAAAAAACATTTTTGGCAAGACAAAAAACAAAAGTTTTCTTAACAGAAAAAAAATGCGCTCAGGTTATAAAAAAGAAAGAAAAACATAAAGACGTGTAAAAACAAGATTCTGAATTCCATATGAAATGAAATTAAAATAACAAATAATTAACATAAATATTGCATACAGAAATACATAAATGTTTAACAAAAGGCTGTTTGTAGAAATTGTGACACAGTTTTTTAACCCCAAAATGAAACAAGAAACAAAATAACAATTAAAATGCAAAAATTTTTGATGTAAATGTGAGTAGAGAACACGCTTGATTAAAGTAAAGAGATAATGTAGAGATTGTAAACCCAATTTAATGTTCTGATTGTGAATGTACTCGTAGTTGCTTAGCCCAATAGAGCCTACTTGTAGCGGGTCCTACGTAGGATCGCTTCTATGTGCACTGCTAAAGAGAAACTCAACCAGCGAGAAATCGTGTAAATACAAATACAATAATAATATATAAAGCGTATATAGCATATATCTATCGGAATATATTATATATATATAGTAAACTTTGTGATTGCTTCTCATTGATGATACCAAATCGAGTAGATGTCAGATGTAAGCCGGCGAGTGCAAACTCTTTCCAATGCATAGCCATTCTTATAAAAAAAAAAACAAAAAATAAATAAATAAACATGTATAAAGCACTCGATATTCGAACTCCAACACCCCCTGCCCCTATTCGTAGCCCTGTCTCTACCCGAGTACCCACTCCCTAACAACATTCTCAGATAAATTTGATGTAGAACACAAACCAATGTACGAGTAGTTAACAATGTCATATACAATATATATATATATAAACATACATATATGTATTCATTATAAATGTTGTAAAAAGAAAACGAACAAGGAAACCTATATGCTCTATGAATGTGTATGTATATGTGAAAATATTTAAAGTATATATTAAATCGTAGCACATTTTGAAACGCTAACAAATATATATGAAAACATCCATTTCAATTAG